ATGGCACTGGGAAATAGAGCTGCTTGTAACTCATTAAAGGACTTAACACTCTTAGGTTTCCTGCACAGGGAACAAAACCAAACCACAGACTTACATTTACTCCATAAGTCATATAGTATCCCTAAAAGTCAACATATTCTGAATGGCTGCTGGCCTTCATTTTTTACCAGAATGAATAAAGAGTTGCCATGATAACTAAATTGGTCTTCTACTCACACTAATCACAGGCAAGCAGCAGCAACATGGCAAGAAGTTTCATGTTGCTTGTTTCAAGTCTCTTCCAGTCCTCACCACAGTTAGCAGTGAGATCATCAATATTTTGCTTTGCAAAGCCAAGAGCACCCAAGCACAATAGAAAAACTATCTCATAATATCATAGTTCTAAATTAGAAACTAATTTTATCTAAATATATTAAAATGCTAAACAGCCAGTAAAATGTTACTTTAGACAAGTGTGTGGCTATTGAAGGAATGTACAGAAGGGCACTTGACAGGTTGTGGCTTTGTAGGTAGAAGAAAATATGCTATTCCATGAGAGGGGGAAAAAAAAGGATGAAAAAAGACAGGCGGTAGCATAGTGGGTTCAGGGCATGATGAAACAGTAACTACATTGAATTACTGTAGCCAAGCACAGTCACACTTACAATCTTTCTTTACTTTTAAAATAATTAAACAGATACAAAACACAAACAAACCAAACCCTATGGAATATTACCTTGTCTTCCTGAGTAGTTTTTTTCCAGATCATGCTGCAGAAGTCTATTGTGGAAAGAGGACTGTTCTTTATTTATCCTGAATTCAAACTGTAACACAATATTATAGACAAATGTTAGAGTTTTCAAATGCAAATAATGTCTTTACACAGACAAACACAACATTAGTACTAACAGCAGCTCTCAGTAATTTCTACAAATGCTTTGAAGAGAGAATAAGTAATTTCTCCAGTAAAAGGTATATTCATTCTTTTAAGACACTAAACTAAAAAGCTTCACTGTTGGAAACCAAAATGAAAATATGGAAGTTACCAGTACATTTATATGCAGTTGACTGAATAAATAAAAAACCCCACCCTGTGAAAAATACTGCAATTACAGGACAGAGGTACAGATAGAAGATCAAGAAATTATATATATATACACGTACATATATATTAAGCTTATGGCCGGCTATAGTACAACCCCGTGTTTTTGTTTTATATGTTTTTAATAGGATTAAATTAACAAAATACTGCTAGATACATTAGATATTGTAAGTCAACAGATGAGTACTGAAAAGGTAATTCCTATTTGACAGCATGCAGACTTGTATCATACAACTACATTAGTTAATATAACTATCCAAGGAAAGGTAATAATTACTGGTTTGTTTTTTTCTGGTATTGACGAGGTCTGGATGACCAGCTGGAAACCACAATTATTAACCTGAAAATTGGAAGGAAATGAAATTAAATGCTACATTTCTCAGAAATATCAATACAATTGCTGATGGCAATATTGATATTGCATATCAACACAACTGCTTTTCAAACAATAAAGCTATTTTCAAACAGCAAAATCTGCTAAGAAAGGACCTGTTTTGCAAAATACTATGAAGAACGCATCACAGCTCCAAGTAACGCTGAATTTTTAGTTTACAAAAATCACACACGTTTTCATATTAAAAATACACTGAAAGCGTGACTTCCATGGGGATGCAAGTCTCAGTATGAAGAAAACAAGTGTTTACATTTAAATACGCCTTGTATTTTCAAGAGGCAAAACGTGCTGGTCTTTGAGCTCGATTTATGCGACACAACCGAAACGTGTCCCCTCCGCAGCTCCCGGCACAGCACAGACGCTGTGGGGGAGCCGCGACCCGGCCGCTCGCCCAGCCCCGGCAGCACCTACCGCTGCGGGCGCGGCCCGCGGGCCCCGGCCCGTGCGGCCTCTGCTGGGCACCATGGCCCGCTGGCCCCCTCGGCCCCGCGCTGTCCCTCGGCCCCGGGCGGCCTCTCAGGGCTCCGCGGCCCCAAACAACCCCGCAGCCCCGCGCCGCCGCCGCCGCCCTGCCGCAAATGGCTCCGCGTTACCGCGGCGACCGCGGCTTCCGCCCCGCCCGGCTGAGGCGGTGCCAAGGGCGGGAATCCGTGAGGGGACGGACACACAGACAGATGTGGCGCTCCGTGGTCACCCTGCTGTGCCCGGTGTCCCACAATAAAAAGCCGCTATTGTGATCATATTTTTCTGAGTTCTACGAGCAAGTGGCTGTGTATGAAAAGCCGTGATATGTAGTGGATGCTTTTAAATACGCATGTCGAGAAATTGGTGGTTAGAGAAGTAAGGGTGTGGCTGTCAGTCCGTGGAAGGGATGTGAATTGCCTCGTGGTGTCTTCCCCAGTTACAATCATGGAATAATCAAGGTTGGAAGAGACCTTTAAGATCATCAGGTCCCAAAGCCAACCCAGCACTACAACTGTAGCCCCTAAACCACAAACCACACGATCCAGTGCAGACCCAAGATGCTCTGCAACACCTCCCCGGGCAACCTATTCCAATTGCTGGCCACACGAACAAATATGTATTCCAGGTTTAGCTTCTTGTACTGTCATTTTGGTTTCCATGTGCTGAAAGGCTGACAGAAGAATAATGTAATTATGGCATATTTTGTGAGAAATGCAAAATATGTGCCACAATTTAGTCGAGATGGAGAGGGCTGGTATCACCAGCAACCCTTTAACTGGCACTCCCACTAGTCTTTATTCGCAAATTCTTACATGTTTTCTTTTTCAGACCCTTTCCTCGTACAATTCTGACTCCTTTTCATACAGGCCTCTCTCTGATAACTCTGACTCCTTCTCATATTGGCAGCTTCACACAGTACTGATTCCTTTTCTCATAGGCAGTTCCACATAGCTCTGACTTCTTTCATTCTGCATGACAGGCTAACCCAAACCTGTCCCTCACCCGGCTGCCTAACCCTGACTGTCCCTTACACAGCCACATGTGCCTTACCTCCTCAGCACAGCCAGCAGCCTCCTGCTCTTACTCCAGCTCCATCTGCAAGTGCCTGTTACTGGTGGCCAGCTCACCCACTCTTTTATATCCTCTAAACGCACTGGCCGGGCACAGATGGTTCCACTCCTTGCTAGTCAGTACATCTGCAAGTCATTGGGAAGAATTCCCTCCTGCACTATCCTTTCTCCACAAATATGTGGTTGGGTTTTTGTGTTTTTTTTAATTTTTTTTTTTTTTTTTAGTTTTTTTTAATGGTATGTAGACAATGTTGTACCAACAATAAATGCGCCATAAGAAATCAGTGCAGATTTTGGTCATGCAGTTGAGGTTCACGGGTTTATGATATTTACTGGGTACCTGTGAGCCATGGGTTTCCCTTCAAGGGACTTGTCTACATTAACACATTTAGTTTTAAGTTCTGCTACGTTTATATAACTATAATTATAAAATCCATATCTCTACTGGAAGTTAAAGCATTATAGAGCACTGTTATATTAACAGGAAAATAAAGCAAACCAAACAAACTCAAAAATATTAGTCTGGTAATTTCAATGGAGATCTAATCAACAGAGTGTTTGAAATTACATCAGTCTTCATCTGGACAAAGGCCAGTTCTGTGCTGGTACAACAAATAAACACATGTAGTGTCCTTCACTATAAAATCAAGTTCCCTTAACCTTGACAGAAAGATATATCAGATAAACTGGAAGGTCTCTCTCAAACAGCATTTGAGTTACTGTAGCATAAAATAGCTCTTTGTTCTTCCTCCTTGTTTGTGCCTAGGGAGGCAAACAACTTCCAGGAATTCATACAAAACCTGACCCACAGTCCCTGTCCATATTCTTGCCTAGAATGTGTAATTTGTGTTTGTGGTTCTGCCTCCTCTGAAATAAATAGCAAAGTGATGCCTTACACAAGACATATTACAGAATGTTCCATTAGCAGAGAACTAGAGATTTCGTTAGTGATGCTTGTAAGCATATTTCATAAACAAAATACTTCATGGCTTAAGGCACATTTAAAAATCAGCCAAACCCTGAGGCAGGGCAGTATCAGAATGTCCATGCCAGCAAACCTGACTCATGAGGACAGTTTGACACAGTGACGAGAACTGGCCCTGAGTGCAGTCTCACTTTTTATTCATCCAAATTTTTAAGAAGAAAATATTGCAGTAATGCAGACATAAACCAGGATGCCACAAATGAAGTTTTAGATCTTAGATCTAAAGATCTTTAGATCTTTAAACTTAAAGATCTTTTAGCAGTTTTGGTACAGATAATATTGAAAAAAAAAGATCTTCCTTGAGTGAAGAATAAGAATTTACTTGGTAAATTAAAAATCTTTAGATTCTAGCATTTAGCATATGAATGTTAATTTCACTTTAGTAGCTGAAACAGTCCACTGAAATAGCGTGTAATAGTCTTAAATTCAAAATAATCACTGCCTAAGTGTTTCAGAAAAAGGGCCTCTATTTTAATTAGTTCTTAAGGGGCGACGGTTTTATTCTATGTAAGTGCCGTGCAGAACTATAGAGGAGACTGCTCTGCAAAACCAACACGTATCTAATCACGTCTTTGTTGAATTGTGTATCTTATTTCCAAATCTCACCCTCGGCATTTAATCCACACTTACCCCGACGAAACCTTTCTGACTTTGATAAAAAGCAACGCTCTGGTCGGGGAGCAGCGGCAGAGCCCCAAGGCGGTAGCAATAGAAGAGAAGCGGAGCCGCTGCTTTGCGCTGAGGAGCCCGTTGTTTCCTGACGAGACCAAAGCGGTCCCTGTCCAGCCGTCAAGAAGGACTCAGCTGACCGGCGGGCCCGGGGGCGGCATGGCTGGAGGAGGGTCGGACCCTCCCGCTGCCGTGCGGGCGCGCCGGGGGAGTGGAGCTGGGAGCGCCGCCCCAGCGGGAGGGGACGGGGGGGACAGCAGGGGAGGCGGCCGGGCGGCTGTCGCCAGCCGGGGCATCGCTGGTGTGGCGGCGGGCTGAGCCCGGCCGGGGAACGCCATGGCCCAGCAGCAGCCGGCCGAGCCCGCCGGGCCGGAGCCGCCGGCGGGGAGCGGCCCCGTGCAGATCCGAGTGGCCGTCCAGGCGGCCGCCGAGGAGGACGAGGAGGAGGAGGAGGAGGAGGAGGAGGAAGGGGGCGGCGGAGCGCCGTGCCCCAGCTGCAGCGAGGAGGACTCGGGGCGCTGCGGGCGCTCCAGGTGAGCCCCCGGGCAGGGGAACGCGGTGCGGGCGGGGCTGTGCGGGACGAGCAGCGGGGCCGCCGCCGACACCCCCGGGACGGAGCGGGCCCGGCTGATGCAACGCCGAGGGGCGGGTGGGAGACACGGGAAAGCTCCAGCGCGAACGCCCGGCCGGGAGGGAGCTGCCCGCACCGAGAGCTCCGCCCGGGCTGCGACCAGAACTGCCGGGCCCGGCGCCGGGGCTCCCCCATCGGCTGCCATGGCCCCACATTTTCAATTCACTGCGTTTTACAGAAGGATTTTGGGGGTTAATTGTAACTGTGTTTTGGAGGGTTTTTTGGGGGGGTTTCATGTTTTGGGTTCTTTTCCTCTTTTTGCCCGTTTTGGCTTGGTGGCCTGAAATAGTTTTGATGCTTACCAGAATCTCTTACTTGTAAAACGATCATCCAGGATTTTTGTGCCAGCAAACTGCAGAGAAACAAAGCTCTACTAGTTGTAGTTCATCCTGTGGTTTGTACTAAAGTTGCAGATGGAGTAATAAATTGTCACATAAAGATTTAGGTACAGTAGCAAGAAATCGAGTATTCTGTTTGAACATTTATTGTTTCTAATTGATTTTCTAACTTCATACCAAGCATTGACTCAGAATAAACTGCAATGTATTATTTTAGATTATAGTGGGGTAGTAGAGGAGCGAGAAATTTTTTGTAGCTGCCAAAATTGTGAACTACAGACTACAGAAACAGGAGTTGAACATAGCTAGGCACAGTTAAGTTTTTTAAACTGCTTAGTTATTCCACAATCATATATTATGCTGTAGTTTTATAAATATGTACAGCAGCCTACAGTATTGCATTCCAATTACTGATTTCTTAAAATCGGGCTATTATTTACATTTCTTATCTATGATAGTATTACTTGTGAAGAGCTTCTAGCCCTGGCCTAGACTAGGAAAAAAAACCATGGTTATTTTTTCAATCTTTGAAAGACAATAGCTACTCTTAAGTGTCACTTATTTAATCCTCTGCAGTAGTTGATGTCTTCAGAAATGTTTGCTGACAGTGTTGATGTATGTTCAGTCCTTGTGGAGGTTGTTTTTTTGTAAATAGATATATAGCCATGGAGAGAACTCTAAAGACTACAACTAAAGTAGGTGAATGAAGTGTAGACACGCTTCTGCCACTTACATATAACCTCACCTAAGGATTTCCTTTTTGGGAATGCAGCATCTGTTAGGAAATTATTTACAAACATTTGGAAAATTATTAGGGATGATCTAAAACTGCTGGGAAAGAGCCATCTCACTCTCCAGCTGAAGGTTGCAGACAACTTGCCATCAGTAGACACCCAGTACTGTATTCATGTTTTTGTTAACAAACGTGGACTGTCTTTGAGTGATTGTACTCTGGGAAGTTATAAATTAGATTGCCACAGATTGCTTATTAATACAATACATTTGGAGACTCAGCTAAAAATTTTCAGAAGGTCAAATGCTATCCAAATAATTTAATATATTATTTGCGAGTCTTAATATTTAAAATTCCAAATCTGCTCTTTCTGTAGATGTTCAGTTTCTTGTGTGACTAATGGCCAGATGAGTCACCATGTTAAAAGATTGTTTTTCATTCTGTTTTATAAGCACATCATAACAAAACTCTGAATAAAAAAATAAAGTTGTGAATAATTACTAGGGTTTGGTTCTTGGTCAATGTTGACTGAAATTATTTATCAACTACTTTTGTGATACAGTCGATACCCTAGAGTTGCTACCAGTTGATTATTATCACAAATTAATATAGATCTAATTACAAATTTCTGCATTTATTGGAGGTGCTATTTTCATACAGCCTTTAGTGAGGGCTGTTGTAAGAGCCCATGAGATTCTGTAAAAGCTGACTTGTCTGCCAAACATAGAAATAGCATATAGGTCAAACTGTGCCCAATATTTGGGAGGTGAAATGAGGCCTGTTTCACCCTGATTCAGTGTTAATGCTGTAGGTAGGGATGGTGCCAATCTCTGCAAACATGTCATTAATTTTTGTTGTTTTCCAAAGCACAACACCCTCTTTTGTCTCTAAACAAACATCTGCAAATATCTATGCTAATAAATCCCTAAAACAAAAGTAAGCCAGATCTTGAACTAAAGGCAAGCTTTTCCTAGCAGAGTGTGGATTTGTAAAAAGGCTGAAATGTTCCAAGCTTCTTGTACCCAGACCAATTCTGAATCGGTAGTAAATGAAATAGTAGGAAGGGACTACCATGAATGAAAAATAAACACCATTGGTTTTTGCTTCCTTCTGAAAGCAGCACCCACAGCTGGGCATTAGATATTTTTTACCATCTTAATCATAGCTTCATCTATTATCTTCCACTTCTGCCTTTGCCAAATAACATCAATTTTTTTGTCTTGCTCTCTCATTCTTGTCATTCCTTTGAACTGAAGCTTATTAAAGGCAAGGGAGATTTTTAACAGGGACACTTCTAGGATTGTGCAAGTGAGTATCCACATATATCCGATGTGTTGTCCTATCATCAGAAGAACCATAACAACTAAATTTACTGTAAGCTTCAAAAAGCCATGTCCCAGACAACTAGTGTAACTTGTCCCAGCAGCAGGCACAGTTCCAGAGCCCAGTGTGCAGAGCCCAGTGACCTGACCACTCTGTCCAGACAGCAGCACAGCCACAGCACTGCAACCCCTGCCTCCATCAGCCCTGGACACAACTGCCCAGGGCAGGGCATCCTCCCTGCCAGATCGGCCTCACAGCACTCCAGTAATCCCTGCTCCTTTTCCTAAGGACTTCGAAGCCTGCAAAAGCCACTTAAGACAATTCTGGGGAAATGCATGGCTCCTTCTTTTCATTGCTAACATACTTGGGAGACCAAACTAATACATTATTTATGGGGTACTTAGTGGATGATTTTATTTTTTTAACAGAAACTTGGATGATGATCCCACAACAAAACTAGACCACTAACAGCTTGAAAAAATGACTCTGCCTTAAGACAGACTTTTCTATTTTAGTCACCTGTAAATGGAAATGTCTATTTCAGCAACAAATATGTTGCTGTAACTGCACGTGGCAAGACGTTTACCTTGAATCCATGACTGCAGTTTTTTCTGAGGAATAGGATGCTCAAAAATGCTACATTTTGCCCAGGTACCCAGACATTATGATGGCAGGTAAAGAGAAGAATTGAGAATGACTTCTTAGGAACCTGCATGTGTGTATATAAACCTGTTCCTGAGGTACATGAGCTGGCAGGTTTAGCCCCTGTGGTAAAGTGCTGGTTACATTACTGTGTCACTCTGGAAGTGACCTGTATAACATGCAACAGTCCTGTCAGTCCTTCTTACTCCCTGGATATCAGCTCCTGCATTCATGTAGTGAAGAGGCTTAAGAAGTCATGACTGCATCAAGTTGGAATATTCATTCTCTGGTATGTGACTACTCACAAAGCACATAAAGGTCAGGCCTATGTTTAATAGCATCATACTGAAAAATTTAACACTGTCACTGGAGGAACTTTGTATAGTACCAAGTGTCAGTGCATCTTCCTTACATGTTTTGGTGGAGGATTTGAGTTGGCAGTGCTTTCAAGCTTAAGTAGATGTCTCATTGTTCTTCACTGAGATCAGCTTTTGGAATGAGCTCAGGAACTTGGCTCCTTATGCTGACTGGAAAGCTTCATCCTCTGAGCTTGCCCACTGGCTCAGCTGGTGGCTGATACCTGTCCAGTGCCCACATCTGAACTCAGTTGGAACCAGCATAATGGTTATGGCTTTTCATTTTGAAAGGCTATTTGAATCCACTAATAGAAGATGAAGATCTGTTGATAAAATGATTTAACTGTTTTCCAGTGGTGGGGAAAATGAAGATGACTCTGACCAAAACTGGAAACCACCAGAAAATGACCTGATCCAGAAGCTAATAGCACAGATTGAATATTACTTCTCAGATGAGAACCTTGAGAAAGATGCCTTCCTTCTGAAGCATGTGAGAAGAAATAAGATGGGTTATGTCAGTGTTAAACTCCTCACTTCATTTAAGAAGGTAAGCCAACTTTTTAAGACTTGAAGGGTCTCATGCAAGCCTGATGACTCTAAAAACAGTAGAAGAGATTAAAGTAATGTTTTATACAGGCAGCTTTATGGTCTTTATCTGCCTGGTTTTGCTATGATGGTTAGGTTTGTACTCACCCAGAACTTCAACTGCTGAACTCCTTGATGACTGGCTAAGGAAATCATTGGCTTAAAAGCCTGAATGCTTTTAAATTATCGTTCTTGGAGCTAGGAGGACATTAGGTAAAATTAATTTCCACGGCAACTACTCATGAATAGCTGGGTAGTCCTGGTAAAGTTACATTCCTGTCTCTGAGAAGGGACAGTGAATCAAAAATGAAGTGTAGTAAAAATTATGTGGTAACTGAAGTCCCTTAAACTTGAAGTGAGTTTTATTCTATTTTTCTTTTTTTTCTCCTTGCATGAGAAAGACCTATGTAAATCTGTATGTAACTGATTTCTAGAATTACACTAGAAACACTTTGTCAAGATTTTAAATCTCATCATTTTGCAGAGTTATTCAGTCTAGAAATTAAGGCACTCTAAATTTCTTCAGACTACTTCAAACAGATTATATTGGTAAGAGATAAACTATTTATAAACATTTAATGAAAACTGAAAAGTTTGAGGTGTTTTTTGGACCAAGATTTTTGAGGGAGGAAAGATCAGTTCAATACAATGAAGACCTAAACTTAACAAAACTTGTTTGGTAAATGTAACCTCCCTAGAACATGCATTTTCTTCATGGTTCAAGCCTAGATGTGGAATGACCAAGCACTACTTGAGCAGGCTTTCAGATGTAGTAATGATTTCCAGTTTGAGCTTTAGTTCCAGTTCCTATTTTCATTAGATTCAACAGGACATGAGCTTTACAGGAGCTCACTGATGCCCATTATAGCACGAAAACTGTTTTTCAGTAAGTCTGCTACATGAAACTTAAATCCAGGGTTCTGTTTGTATACTGAAGCCTGCACCTGCCTTAAAATTCAGTGATTAGTTTGATTGGGTGTGCTCAGTTGTGGTGCTTAACCTGTGTCTGTCCCTAAGGTGAAACATCTTACACGTGACTGGAGAACCACAGCCTATGCACTGAAGTACTCGAACACTCTGGAGCTCAATGATGATAACAAGAAGGTTCGAAGAAATACTCCAGTTCCAGTGTTTCCAAGTGAAAATGTCCCTACCAGGATGCTACTGGTATATGATATCCACATGATTTCTGAGCTGCAGGCCCTTAACAAAGAAGAAAACGGATGCATGCAAGAAAGGATAATGGAGCATCTCCTCAAAGCCTTTGTAACTTTTGGTGTCATTTCATCAGTTCGTATTCTCAAGCCTGGCAGGGATCTCCCACCTGATATCAGGAGGGTCAGCAATCGGTACACTCAGCTGGGAACCCAGGAATGTGCAATTATAGAATTTGAAGAAGTAGAAGCTGCCGTACGTGCTCATGATTTCATGTGTGCTGAAAACAAAGAGACCAGCATGAAAGTTGTCCTAATAGGCATGAAACCACCAAAGAAAAAAGTTCCCAAAGACAAGAACCGTGATGAAGACACCAGTAAGAGCCTTAAGAAGACTCGATCCCTTAACAAGAGAGTTGAGGAACTTCAGTTTGCTGGTGATGAATCTTCAGCAAACAGCTCTTCTGACCCAGAGAGCAATCCTACATCACCACTGTCAGGACGCAAATGTACCACCACAAATACTACGAGGAATTTGAGCCCCATCATCCACCCAACCAACCATTTGAGTCCTAATATGTCACCCAGATCAAGTCCTTGGAACAGTCCATCTTCACTAAGAAAAGTAACCAAAAAATCTCCGCTGGCTGAAGACAGCAAGCTTAACCCAAGCACTAGCCCTGAAATTCCAAGGAAGTACACTGATTATTCCTCAGATAGCAGCATCACTCCTTCTGGGAGCCCCTGGGTGCAGAGAAGAAAAGCCCAAACTCTGACACAAGAGAAGAGTCCTGTCAGCAGTCCCATGTTGGCTCGGAAAATACAAAACGCAGATGGTCTCCCTGTAGGGGTGCTGCGGCTGCCTAAAGGTCCTGATGGCACCAAAGGATTCCACAATGGCTGTGAAAGAAGGAAGGCTATGAAGGGTGAATAGGCTATTCTTTAAAAACAGTTTCACAAATCAGCCAACTACTGGTGACCAAGCCTGGTAAAGAAACTTGTCACTTGAGTGACTCAGTTAAGTCGTTATTTAATTTTAAGAGCTTTTGTATTTATATAGAGACTTTATCACTTGTATATTTGTATATTTTCTTCACATAACAGGTGAGGTAGGAAGGCATCTCTGGAGATTGCCCAGTCCACCTCCTTTGCTGAAGCTACAAGTCACTGATAGGTTTGAGTATCTGCAAGGACAGATCTCCAGCCTGTTTGGGTGATGTCTTCCCATGTTCAACCACCCACACAGAACCAGTCTGTGCCCCTTTTCCTGTTACTGGGTATCACTGAGAAGTGCCTGGCTCCATCTTCTTTACTTCTTCTCATCAGATATTTAAAAACCTTGATGAGATCCTTCCCCAGAGCCCTCTTTACTCTCATCTAACCAGTGCCCGCTCCCTCAGCCTCACAGGAGGGATGTGCCAGCCTCTTAATCAGCTGAATCACTTAGCTAATGCAGGGCCCTTACTTGCATCCATTCTTTCTAATGTATTATTTTGAAACACCTAAATATTCAATATTCAGTGATATAAATCATTGATGTAAGTACATTATTTGCCAAGCTAAAATCCTGAGGAACAGTGTGTACTCATGGTTTAGTGGTTGTATTATGAAAAGCTATGGAATGTTACCAGTCTCACCATAAGAAGCTGAGGTTTTGAAGATTTCCTGTGTTTGCCTCAGAAGGAACTGAGAAACCCATGCCACAGTGAGCAGTTGTTCTCACACACATCACCAAAGCAGTATTGTTCCATAGGACCAGTGTGCATTTTCATGAGTAAAGACTCTTAGCACTGGAGACTGCTCTGTAAATGTCCTCTTGTATAATCAGATGGAAATAAAAATATTAACTCTAAATCTATTTTGTTTACTTTAAAAATAAGTTGAGCTACACATGAATAAATAGCTTAAACCTCATCTTATACCACATGAAATTCTAGTCGTAATTACTCAAAATTTCCATTGCATTCAGGGAGAAAAACCTTCTCTGCCCCATTACTGATGGTAAATTCTGTGGTCATGCTTCACTCTGTACAATATTACAAACTAAACAGTGGTTATGTCACTGCTAACTCAGAATTTGACAAGCAGGCTCAGCAAGAAGTGCTATAATGTCACATGAAGTCTAAGAAGGAAACTGCAATTTTACTTACAAAAGTTAAACTCTGGAAAACTAGCCCGGGGACAGTAAGAGGGTTTCAAGTTGCAATGGTCAGCTTGGGAACTGTGCACAACAAAGGTCTCATCAGATGGTGATTCTTCATTCCAAAAGTCCACATCCTGTCCAACTGCCTAAGTGTAACATTTCTGCTGTGTAAATAACTGCAGAAACACACAGTTGACTCCTATATACAGAAATCCCAGTTCTGTGTGTTGCTCTTCAGCCACCCACGTACATTCCTGGTTCTTTTACTGCACCCAGATGGAATCCTCCAGGTGACCTCCTGACTCCCATTGCACAAACTGCAGCATGTGCACATTCACAGACTTGGTAGCTCTCAGCACCAGAACACACAGGCAGGTGCTTGGAGAGGGCAGAGTGAACCCTGTGGCTGCCCAGGCCAGGGGGAGACAGGGGCTGCCAGCACAGCAGGCAGGACTCACCCCACAGAATCCTGCTTCTCTTCTGTAGAGCTCAAACACACAGAGGCACACCTTGAAGGGGTGGTTTCAAAAACATGGAGCTTGAGGCTATTTTTATTGCTTTTTTTTACACAACAAACAGCAATTCTAAAAAGCATTTTAAGAATGAGACCACTTTGCCAATTAGCTCAGTTACTGAAGGCATTCAAGATTTTTAAGTGCCTACACAGCACCAGTGCCCAGTGCACTAGCAGAGATCCCCACATGCTACTCAATCCACACAGCTTCAATCATACATGTACAGCAATAAAGCCAGATACAATATTAATTCCTTGGGATAAATATTTTGTTCTCCCTGAGTTTGTTTCTGTCTTCACATTCAATCAACAGCTCAAAATCTGAAAATAATACAAACCCCAAAAATACACACCACACATTCAAACTGCTTGGCAGACTGCTGACAACAGAGATGTTTTAAACAACAATAGCTCTGCCTTCATTTTGTTCCAGCTCTCAAATGTTTGTATTATGATGACATATTTCAACTAAGTATTTTTTTAAATGTCATATTAGCTCAAGAGAAACAAGGTGACAACATATTTGGCATTCTAGTCACTAGTTGAGAGCCCTTCCCAACTACCAAAAGAACATTTACTTCTGTCCCCAGTAACAAGGGATGCCTTCCAGTTGCCTTAATCTTGCACAGGCAGTTTATAGATGGGTTTAAGACCCTGAGGTCTGAAAAAAGCCAGGGACTTAATTTAAAAAATCTTATTAACTCAGCTAATACAACAGAGCTATTTAGGACAACAGTTCGATTAATCAAACAGAGCTGGCTTCAGCTTACACCATTGTTCCCTTAGCTTGGATTTTACTGCATTTGAAGCAAAAATATAGTTGATTGATTCGTAGGAAAGATCCCACATCTGTGATTGAGTCAGATTAAATGTTTTTGCAACCAGCTCATATTCTTGGGATAGATCAGTTGCAAAGACGCCTTTATCATCAGTCTGGAGTTAAATTGAAAGGAAAGAAATAAAGTTTAAATTAGTTCCTCTGTTTCAAAAAAGTTTTTTTCTACACATACAAACTAGCTTTATCTCCCTGTCTCACATTTTATTCCACTGTTCTTTCATCTGTGCATGGTTATTTCATTCTCTATTTGCCCTATTTTCACTAAAAATGAATAAATTATTCAAACATATAAGAAAACTTCTTCAAATGATAGCATAATTTATCAAGAAAACAGGATTTCCTACTAAAATTGCTAAAAAGATGGTTAGCAAATGCTGCATATATTCAGGTCTTACTTCTCTTTTCCCTTTTCCCAGATAAGCACATGTTTATATATATAATATATACATACATACACACACACTTAGTTCTATGGATTATGGGGGTTAAACTAACAGGATAATAGTAAAACCCTGCCCATGGCAGCACAAGTACTTCAATGATTAAAGACCTTAATGAGCTATCAAGAGAATTCAGGAGCTCTCACCTAACACAATGAACACCCAGGTTCAGCACAGGTGCATGAGCAAGCACTGGAGCCATGGGTTTTAAGAGAAATCTGCCATTGTGCAAAGAGCTATGAAGTTCACTGCTTGTATAGCTGATCATCTTATCCTACAGAAAAAAGGCCTGGCTTTACAATAGAACCAAGATAAATACTAGCAATTCCCATTTGAATTAAAAGCATTTCTCAAACAGAATATTATGATTTCCTAAAAGCAAATTATTTGCTACAAGGTCAGAAATTTTAAGTCAGTTCTGATCCATAAGCAGAGAAGACTTCCCCAACTTCACAAGTTTAGTCCTTTGACTAAATACATGCTTAAAAATCAAAATACTTACACAAAGCACTGCAGGATGGCCCCTGTTGTACCAGTATCCAAAATGGTGTTTGTCATAGGAAGGCACTGTCTGAGATTTTATGTTTGATGTCATGCAAAATTCTAAGGGAAAAACAGAAAAAGAAATGAGGACACATATTAAAACAAGAGACATGTTAATTGACTTAGAAAGGTTCTGAATGAAAATTTAAATCAGCTACTGTTGTTTCCTTGATTTTCTATGCTTCCTTGGTAATTTATTTTGAGAAAAGTTTGCTAATCAATTTCTTCGGGGTATAAAATTTAGGGAGCTTGCAAACCAGGTACAGAACCACCACACAGTCTTGTACAGTAATGACAACTTATGGTTTGGTTTTACTTCCTTCTGAGACATCAGCTGCTGTCTGCTGCCAAAAAGGTGCCAAAAATCCCACAAGTGTCATGAGTGTACCCTTATGGGCAAGTCTCATTGTAACATTTGTCCAAGTCACTTCTGGTCAGAGACAAAAAACTGCTGTCACTACATCATCAGTACATATCCTGTTCTGATATCCAGAAATCAAGTCATGATAAATATTTTTTTCCTTACCAATAGGTATATGATTCTGCTGAACCAGTGACACTATCTCTTCAGAACCTGCTGCTGTAGAATTGAGAAATGTTCCATGTCCAATTCTGTCAGGAGGCAGGCCCAGGAGAATCTTGGTCTCCTCTTCTTGATTTGGAATCTAGAGAGGACATATTTCATATTCTGTCAAGGCAGCATAAAACAGCACATGATATAATTACAATGGATTTTCAATTCTACTTTCACGGCATCTCTTACCTGAAATAAAGTGTTAGTGAAATAGAAACAAGTATAAATATGCTGATACATCATACGTCCTGTTTAATTTCCTGAAAAAAATAACTATCTTCAGTATTTACTGGACTTCTCAGGACCAATTCCAGCCACCATTTGAGCAGAAGGCCAACTCTTTCTACTGATAACAGTGGAACTAGCAGAGCTCACTGTTCATCAAACTGTGGATTTCACTACTACTAATATAATACCAGGAAGAAAGCATTGGATCTCTTAGAAAGCTTCTAATTTCAATTTCACACCTAAACCCACAATAGATAGTACAGGAAGCAATAATCTGGCTGTTCAGATTTAGAACAAAAAGTTGAAGATTTCTCCTTGTTTTCTTGTCTCTTGTCAAATGTCCCAAACCACTAATACTTTGGCCTGAGAAGTTCAAAATGCACAGAAGGTAATTTTAGTTTCATTGAGATTTTCACTAAATGACAATTACAGAGAAGCATCAAAATAAAAAAAACCACTTTTACCTCAGAAAGATGCAGTGCCAGCTTTAGACCTGCTTTTTTAGCTTCTGAGAGCGGTTCCAAAAAATCTCGACCATGTCCTGCCTGGAAAACATGAACACATCACTATTCTACAGCTAATTTGACAAAATCCCTGTCATTACCATCATTAAGAAGTCTAGCAATATCCAAACACTACATTCAAATACAGTTATATTTAATTATTCCACTTTTCCCATTACTTCAGTTTGGAATGCAGTGAGTCAAACAACCCTCTGCCATATGGTTTAGACCAATGGATCAAACACCAGTAGCTCAGATGATGCCTAAGACTTACAAGTCAATTGTCTTTATTTTGATACCTTTTACACAGCTATCACCTAGAGCTAGTTCAATTCAGCTTGACAGCTGTCCTCAAACATTTTTGCTTTCTTAATTCAAAATGAGCATTTGGTGCAGCTAAACAAATTTAAACAACTTTCCTCCATCTAATTAATGAGACTGGGACAACTCTGGTACAGACTTCCCAGATAAACACTGGTTTTCAATGGTTCTTTTCTCAGTCACATACTAATCTAAGGATTCTTTGTTAGAGTATCTGGCTCTTACAGCAACAGGGATTAACCCAGTATAATCCATTCCAGGCAGGCAAAAAAATTGGACAAAAACTTGTGAGAAAAAACTATGGTTAGAACCACCTGCTGTTACACAATATTGTATATTTATCTTCAAGAACAGACTAAAATAAATCAAAAACTTACAGTGGGATCACCACTGAGGTCAAGTCCTACTACAACCCCATCACTAGAAAGCAGGAACTCTTCAGCAAGTTTAACAGTCTGCTTAGCAACTTCTGGGCCATCTCTTCTGTTTATTGCTATTAACAGCCTGGGACAGAAATGTATTAGATTATTAAATTATATAAAAGCTGTACTATCGGGAGCTCAACAGATCTGATATCAACAAAAATGGCATTTCATATCCTTCATGGCTGAGTATAGAGAGTATTTTTATAGGAAACTGTTCTAGGAATGAAGGTACCAAAGGGCAGAGGGAACAAACAGATAAATAAGTTGGCCCATGATATGCAATAACACACAAGAAGGATGAAAATTCATCAGCTTTCACAAGTAAATCTAGTAAGGATTTCTACTGAGGCTATAAAAGACAGGAGAGCAAACTGTCTCCAAACAATCACTGACACCTTCTGAAACTTCTCTGCTGGTCAGGGCCAGCTCTTCTTTACAGCAGGCTGCATGTACAGCAAATCAAACAAAATCTTTGCAACGAAGCTAAGCTGTGAAAAAGGAGCCAATTCTATGAAAAACACTTATTTTCCTGAAAATGTTGCAAAGAATGGACAGTCTTAGAGATGACAGGTTTTACCCAGTTTTCTTCTTCAGCAGTAAAAAAGAAGATAAATAGTCAGGTTTCCATATGAATTACCTGTTTCTACTCCATGTAATCTGGTTTAAAAACAATTTTCTCTTTCCTATACTGATGGCTTGTAAATTTCTCTGCAAACATGAACAAGCATCAGACTACACAAAATCTTGAAACAGAGGTATTCCACATGCTTTATTTACCTTACATCTATATCCAAGCCTTCTTCTTGACACTGCTTTATACCCTCAAGTACAGTTTCAACATACATCCTTTTGGTCATACCTGCAAACACATGCACACGTTTGGAACAAACATATTTTAAATTATTTTTATCATATTGCAGACCCAGCTCTCTAGTCTAAGTTTCATGTTGCACCTTTGATTTTAGGCCATATAGTCTTCTAACTCATGTAATTCTAATTCTATCTGTAAATACAGCTTTACTGTGAAGCACACATTTGAACTAAACCTCCTCTTGAGTATGTGGAAAAATGAAAATGACTTTGTGTGAACCAGAGAATCACAACAGGACTTCTGTTATGTGTTTCTACTAAACCACACCTAGAAGAAAAAGAATAAAATAACAAAACTAAAATATATCAGCTATTAAAAATATTAGCAGACTAAGATGACATACTCATGTGAATAACCCAATCTCGTGAGTCATAGTTATGACCAACACATTTTTGTCCTCGAAAATCTAATAGGAAAGTGACATGGTTAAGTCTTAGCTTTCATATTTAAAGTATATTTTTATTGAGCCAACTAAATTTTACTTTATTTGTTATTAACATAGTCTTTAACTAAGTTTTATACTGCAAGAAGATCACAAATTAGAAACCAGAACAGACTTACCTGTGGAATTTTCTTCTCTTGGAGTGCTTCTCAATTCTAGATACTTGACACCATCATCAGCAAATTCCTTAATGACATCTTTAGTTATCTGATTAAGAAAAAGTTTATACAACATAATAAAAGTCACACTTATAATTTGTTATATTTTTCTTTACAACTAAAAGACCCAGTTATTTTTTGTTGTGAAACACTTGCAATGTTTCAGGCCCAATGTACTTTTAGTTGTCCCCATGTCTGTGGAAATACTACCACACAGAAGGCACCTTTGATTCCTTCAGGGATAGTGAAGAGAGTTCAAGTGTTTTACAATAATTATTCTGACCTTCATTGAAAGGGACCATCGTTGATATTGTAACTTGGAACTCAATGCTCTTAATCCAACTGATTGTGACTGTGTGTATTGCTTTCTTGTTTTAAGTGAACTTTTAATCAATTTACCAGTAAAATATCTTCAGTCCTTGTGGTAACCTGATAGATGATCTGAAACATCTGAAAACATCTAAAATAAAATTTTAAAAATTAATTGGAAAGACACTGAATGAGTATTTAGGAAAAAAAAATCTACATTTTAAAAATACCTATCCACTGGAGTCAACTAATGAGACTGTAGCTTGAAATACAAAAAACCATCTGAACGGCAATTTCTAATTTTAGATACTGACAAAGCATTCACAACAAAAGTTGTTATTGCCACAAAGCTTTTTGAATGAAAAGGAAAACATGAAGTTTCTACAAAAGGAAACTATGTGAGTCAATATTCTCTGAAAAACATATGATCTAGGTGAAAAATTTCAATCCTTTAAAAAAGGAATTAATCAACAATACTTCTCCTTTTAGTTTGCAAATACCTGAGAAATTACTCTGTACAGATACAGATATAGAAAAAAAATCTATGAGATTATGCTGTAAAACTTAAAAATGTATTTTCTGCAGTTAGTGTGTAAGGCCACACATTTCTGTTTTCCACTTAATTTAAAAATCTTTGTAAATGTTCATCACACACGTGCATATACTCACTCATCTAAGGTTCTTTTCTTTCCTTTTTCAATCACAGTCATTCCATTCTGGATATGAAGGTTTGGCTTCTGGGCCATGAGTTTCTTCATAGTAGCAGAACTGATACAGCCATTCAAATGAGCATGGAGTTCCTACAGAAATAAAAATCCTATGGACTTATGAAAAGGATGGCTTCTGCACCTTGTTTGTACTACTGTTCTCGCATCCTACATCAGTATTTCACTTTGAGTTTGAAAATAAGAGTTATCTGCATTTTGGCTAATAATAACTTCCTTAAGGTTTTTGCAAGCACTGGTTCAAGTGAGAACTGCCCTGTTTCTTTCCTCTCACTTGGTGGCTGCTGTTGGCACTGGTGTCCATGGGAGCACAGCTGGCTGAGCAAAGAGCTCTCCAGACAATTCTTTTGGTGGTGTGATCCATGGGGAGGAAGAAGCCAGCAGCCACCTCAGTAACACAAAAAGTGCAGTAAGAATTCAAGAACTCTCCCATCACTGCAAGTTAAATTGCATGTCCGTCATTCAAAAAATAGCAACAGGTGTCTACCCACTCCTCTTCCTTTTATTCTCTGAAGATTTTTTATTTTTTTTTTTATTCTCTTATTTCTTTTATTACTCTGAAGATTAAACTCACACCAGAAATGCAGCAAGACTCCACCACGAACAGCAACTGCAGTAACTGCACTCCTCTGCCTGAGACTCTTTCTGCCTGACTTCCTATTGACATCCTGACTTTGGGCTCCAAACCTAAGGTCCTCAGCTCCATTCCTCACTTCACCTTCGCTCCTTCTTATCCCCTGGCTCCTGACTTAAGGAATAGGTCTCTAGTGCCCTCTCAACTCATTCAAAATGTATCTACAAAGCATCTGCTTTGTTACCTACCTCTCATTTCCCTGTACACATCCATTCTCAATAGGAAAACTCCAATAATACTTCTCTTCAAGCTTTACATCAGAAAACATGTTGAAGTTGTAACTCCAACTAAGCACCAGGAGCTGTGGCTGCTTACAGCTTCTGCTGACTGAGCCAGATATACAGTGCTACAGCTGCCTTATATTTTTCACAAGCTTACAATTACCTCACAGAATTGTGTCAGACATTAAACATACACCCTGAAAAACAACTTAGCAAAAAGGAACACTGGAATGCAAGGGTGATGTAGCCTGAAGAGGGTTTGCTGTGCCCCCGTGCACTGCCTGTACGAGCTCTGTGCTGGAGTACGTGCCCTCGGGGTTCGGTGAGTGCGGCACACGAGCCTCGATAAATCCGCACGCACTCCTGCGGAAGGCTTGCACTGATATGCCTCAAGTACGGCACACCCCTAGAACACGGAGAAAAAGCCTTATCTGAGCCAGACTTCTTGGATAGACTGAGGGCAAATAGCACAAAAAGAGAAAATGAAGATCGCGCTCAACTGATTTAAATGCAATTAGATTAGTCAGCAAGGTCTGTAAACAAACCGGACAGGCGAACACCCGATTGCTCTTTGCGGAGGGATAAGGCCCTCAGAAAACGCGCGTTTGGAGGAACTCCGAGACAACAGCAGCAGCGTCTGTGGCTGTGTCTGTGTGTCCGTGTGCAGCCCGAGCCCCGAGCCCGGTGCCGACGGAGGAGGGTCCGGTGCCGCCGCCCCCGGGCCCGCCGCCCCCGGCGCTCACCGCTTTGGGCAGCCGTCGGTAGAAGCGCAGCTCCCGCTCACGGTCCCGCTCTCCCGCCATGGTGGCTCCTGTGCCGGCGGGGCGGGACGAGCCGGGGCTCGGCGGCGGCACCGCCCCGGGCCCGCCCCCGGCACCTGCACTGCGAGCCCAGGCCACCACAAACACCGTCAGTAACAACGCCAGCAAAGCTTCAAGGCGCAGTTTATTCAAGCGATAGCATTTCCAGCCCGACGGCACCGCAGTGCTACAGCAGCGGCCGCTCCAGGCCCGGGCGAGGGGCGCGCACGGCCGCGATTTACCGCGAGTACACAAAGTTGCTGTCCTGTAATGGCACTACTCCGCTACATTATCGCGTCACAAAGTCCTAAGTGGATAAACTCATCGATTATATTGCCAACCCTTTTTTAAAGTAATTTGGCAAGCTTGCTAGGACAAGAATAGGAACTGTAATTTTCACTGATGTGCAGGTCAAGCCCAAGCAAAACAAAGGTATTCTGGAACAATCAAAAAATCTATTTCATTATTTCATATTTAGCCTTTAGTGTTACTGCAGTCTAATTCTAAACCCCCCACAATTTAAAGTCGAGTCTCTAAGCAGATATTAGCTCTCAGTATGTCCCAAACCAAGAAGTTAATGCAATTAACATCGTAAAACATGGTGATTTACATACTACCCACATAACTCAGGCAAATAAATTATCCTCCCACAAATAAAAAAAATTACTGACATATTTAGGAAAGTTAGCTTTAGAGTTAAATTCAAGCACAGTGATATGAAGTAAACAATTCAATATTCAAGTTAGTTGGGGGCCTGACAGATCATCCAAGCTCAAGTGGAGAATTTGGTTAGCTGCTCAATTTTTTTTTCATAGAAAAATACCATGTCCACAGAAGAAATGAAATTAATTTCAATTTACTCAGTGATCCACTCGTTTATTTGACCTTAGTTAAAAAGGCAAACCAAGTACAGATACTGTACATTAAAATGTATGCACACAGAACAAACAGTTGTTCTTCATTCTACCTCAAAGGTTCAAACCTCCACACTCGTTTATTTAGAGCCCTTTGCAGGCAATGACTCCTCTCTGAAACACATTGCACCCACATTTAAATATAGAGAGATCCATCTGCAGGTCCCACATAGCCAACACCTATTAGCAGCACATCAATTAGCGTCCATATTCCAAGTCCACCGAAGCTGAAGAGTTTTCCCAGACCTTCCCGCCACTGACCCAAATAGAAACGATCGGCACCAAATCCACCAAGAGTGATGCTGTAAGAATAAAAATATGATTAAATATTATTATTTTTAGAGGAACTGAGCTTGAATATCCAAGTGTTTTTCTTTCAGCTGTGTTTGCTGAAGACAGCCAGCATTGTTGCATGTGAACCCTTCATGCATTCTATGCCCACCATTTCAAGCCAGACTATTTGAAATACTGGTTATTCAGCACACCTTTCAAAAATACCAAGCAGAAAACCACAGAACCTGAAGATTTTAAAGAAAACGAACTTGTTTTAGTTTGAAATTATTCAATAGTTCCTGCTTACCTTAGTGCCAAGGCAGTAGACCACTTATAACCTCCAGTCCAGTTGCAATAGAGCATCTTAGGAAAGACACGGTTACCTAAACATTGGAAAACATTAAAATCTCAACGCAATAAACAAAGACCATATAATAAGGAAGAAGACACTGTGTTTTTCCAAAAGGAGTCTAAAAGGGTTGACACTAACTAAGAAATAACTGTCAACACAAAAGCTCATTTACACCCTACAGTTCTCTGTTTCATCATTCTTGGTCCCATATCAGAAAAGTCAGTGAACAAACAGAGGGAAAATTAAGCCTAGTTAGATGGAACCAGTATAATTTTCTTTAATTAACCTATGGAGACATTTGATATTGATTCTATTAGTGGTCTGAGAATAGCAGGTTCAAATAAGTTCAACTCATTGAAGTTGACAAAAATAAAACGAACTGTTTTCTCTGGTGTGACAGTATATAACAGTAAAACAGGCCAATATTTGCAGTTAGATGTCGCTACTATGCTAAAAAATGAAATTAACAATAAAAAAATTCAGTAGATTGATCAAGGTGCAGGCTGTTATTGCAAAAGGACATCAACAATCTTTGTATTCACCCACTGCAAAATATGTGAAAAATTCTTTAGAGAAATCTGGCTTTGCCCTCCTTACCTAGACAATGAATGTGATCCCGGACTGTGCAAGTTGCATTGTATCGCTGTCGAGGGCAGGAAACTGTCATGCAGTTTGTGGAATTGGTACAGACATAATCACTTGTAGCAAGCTGCCAGCAAAACTGGCACGTCATGTTAATTGTAAAGTTCTCCTGCTCGTGATTATTCTCATCCTGTAAAAGGACACCACTATCACTTCAACAGTATTAAAACCAAAAATCAATGTGCAGTATCAAATTAGATTTTATGAGCAGACATTTTGGGCAAAAGAACAATTGTTCTGTTTGCTATCTCTTAGAGAACAGAATAGAAAGCCACCAAAGAGGTATCAAAGTCACGTTTAACATTCCTGATTCCTCCAATGTAAGGCAGCTGCCAAAAGGAGGACTCATTTAGTCTCATCTGTAAGGTCAGTTCATAGCTCTGACAGATATTTAGCTTTCCACTCTCAAAATGTTTGGAGTAGTTTAATTCAAAGGCATGGCCAGGTAATGAAAAGGTCCAAGGCAAGAAAGGCAGACTAGGAACTAGCCTGCCTCTTCAACAGCCCACAGTGAGTGATCAAACATCACAGAACTGCAAACCTGCCTACATCAAAACCTAGAAATCAATATTCTGCATTTTAAGACAAGATGCCACAGTTTAATTACTTAAATCTGGGGTTAAGAGTAACAGGTTACTTACAACACAGTGAACATGTGGCTTGACTTTGCAATCAAAAGTTGCCGTCTTCCCATATATACAGGAATAGTTTGTGTTACATGTCATGCAGTCTGGTGGCAATCTACTGCAAAGCCCGTTGCTGGGACAATTAGTCAAGTAAGGTGGAATTTCTGTACTTTCTGAAAGGTGCAATAAGTGAATTAAGAACCCGAGTAAAAAAAGCTAAATAGTCTAAAGTATATATATACATTTTTTTTATATACATACATAGACAAACACATGCACTGATGCTGTATCAAGGCCTTTCCTCCCTGTACATGGAGCAGCAATCCCAGCCTGTGCTGTGAGAGCCAGAGGAGCCACAGGGCTCTGTACAGGACACCAGCCAACACTTCAGCACAGCACCAGCACTGAGCTTACGGGGATTAGTGCTGCAGCCAGCACTCCTCAGCAGAAATAATCAGTTCAGGAATAGCAGCAGGGTGACAGGAGTAACCTACTTTGAGCTGAGCTCTAATTGGGGCTACAGCTACCTCAGCCATTTGCTGTTTGCATGTGTACAGAATCACCTCCTAAACTGCCAGCAAGAACAGCATTTCTGTCAGTCCTGATGCACCCTCAGCACGCTACACAGCTGTACTGATGGTGGACAGGGAACAAGTTCTTGCTGGATGCTGGAGTCTTTCAAGAACTTCCACCATCCTGAGGGGTATAAACCATATATACCACAATGGTACTTTAACCTACCATTTCCTAGATCTTATATGGATCAGTTTTCTAATTAGATAATCCAAAGTAATTGTTATGGTCATTGAAGAGTAATTCATAATGTGTGACACTGCAATGCTTCTTACCACTGTGAAATTATGTACAAGTTTCTAAGACCAAATTCAAGAACTTTTAGACTCAAGACTGAGAAGGATCCACAGATAACAAACAAAAGAAACAACATAATACCTTACCTAACACTTTAAAATAGGGAGCATTTGTACTTGTTGAAGTTAGGCTTTTTGCCAGTGTAGACTGTGGCTGTGAAAGCTTTGTCGTCACCAAAGATCCCACTACAAGACAAAAACATGGAGAAAGTGAAATCTCTGGAACAAAATTAATCTTCAGAAACAGTTTGATTTCAGCACTCTGATTTGAAAATCCAAGTAGAAAAAAAAATCAGTTTTCCTGTTCTACTAATAGGATGCTCAGAAAGATTTTACACAGTGTTTTCTACTGAACAATACCATTTAATAAAGCAATGCAAGTAGTTCTTGGCCGGGAAGATGGAACAGAGGAACGGTTCGGGAGGCACGGCCGTGTCCGTGCCGGCGCTGCGCGCTGGGAACCGCGCTGGGAGGGCTCGGGAGAGCCGCGATGTGCCAGCCCCTGCCGAGCCCTCACGGCACCCACCGGGCACGGGTGAGCAGAGGCAGCTTTGTCACACCACCCACCCTGACCGAGCCGAGGAGCCCAGGACGTTTTGGGTCACACACGTTCGCGACAAAGAGCAGACACAAAAGGTGCTGTGTAATAATAGAGCAGCACACGAGTCGGCGAGCGGGGCCTGGCCCGTGTTTTGCCCGGACAAGGAGCACCTCAGCCCCAACCCCGCAGAGCCGGCACGTGAAATGCGGCCATGCCCGAAACACCCGCTTCGCCCTCAGTCAGGGAGCGGCACCGCATCCTCAGCCCGCCGCGGTCACCGCCACCGCCGCACCGGACCCGCGCTCAGCCCTGGCCGCGGGGAGAGGCCACAGCCGCTCGGGGCAGCCACCCGCACCCCAGGCTGCACCCGGAGCCCCTGCCCCTTCTCCCACCCCCGCCGCCTTGTTTCGGCCCGGGCGCCGCGCTCACCGCGGCCCGAGAGGACGGAGAGCTGTGACAGGAACAGCGCGGCCCCGCAGAGCCCGCGCAGGGCGCGCCGCCACCACCGCGCCGCCATCTTGCAGCAGCCGGCGGGCCCGCGCCACCGCCAGGGGGCGGGACAGGGCGGGGCCGGCCCGGCTGAGGCGCCGCGGGAACGGCAGCGCCGGGGCGGCCCCTCACGGAGCGGACACCGCCAGGGGCCGAATATCGCTGTAAAAACACTCCGAACCTCAATCCCGCAGGCTGGATACTGCGCACATGGAGCACACACAAAAATAACTGTATGTATAAAATACGGAAATAGAAAAAAAAATCGCTGTGTTGGTTCTGTCACGTGGAACAGAAAGC